CAGATGATGTAAAATCTTTAATTAATGCTTTTTTGAATTCTTCGTAATCCTGGTCGTGTTCAGAATTTCGGTACCATTTTTTTTACATCCTCACCAAAATACATCGGGATGAGTTTTCGTCGATCTTTCGATTTAGTATTTGTTGCATCGAATAATTCATCAATATCTTGTAACCAACTGATGGGATCTTGCTCATCAGCATCTATGAATTTGTCTACGGGTTGTACCCCTTTTAATAGTATTTGATGGGATAAATTTTGGTATGCTTGTGGTGGCATCGTGTTGCTGTTTTTGTTTGACGAAGTATGGGGTACGCTTGAATAGGTGTTATTTTTATTATCGTGTTTATCGGTGGTGTATTTTTTGTATATGGATTTTGATTGTGCGTTTCTCATTCAATAGGAAGGTTTTTTGAAGTGATTTTGTTGTTTAATGCTGTGTCTTGTTTGAGAGGATCCTTCTTGTAGGTGGTTATGCAGGCTGAAGTGGGGAAGTGGTTTGTTTTATAGGTTAGTTTCATATAGGTGCATAAGTACAGCGTTTCCGCTTAGGCCGGGAAGTGGGGGACCTCCCCAGCCTAAATTTTGACACTGTCCGCCAAACTTTTGAAGTTTGTGTTCTGCCGCCTTTTAAGTTCTGATTATCCGTCAGAGTAACTGACAGACAGTCTTTTAAGTTGTTTATTGTTGGGGCAAACGAAACTGAAGGAGTTTTTAGCTCACTTCGTCTGTGAAAACATACAGTGAAAACATAGACACGAAATCGTATGAGAGACGTTACCCTCGAAACATTTATCAAAACTTCGAGTTTAAAACTTCCATTAACCCCAGAAGCTACTAATTTTGTTATAAAAGATTTTATTTCTCATCCAGGTCTAGCCAAAGAACAAAGTATATCGTTATACTTAGATGAATATTAAATATTGTTTTCGTTGAAAAAAAAAATTCTGATATGGAGTAACAAAAATTCTTTTCAATTAGCGATTGTTTCACTTATTTAGGAAAAAGCTGTCCGCTGACTTTTTAAAAATACTGTCCGCCAAAGAAATCTCCCCATTCTGATTAAAAACAATCGGAAAGCCTGCATAGGTAGCAAAGGTGGAGCAGCATGTGAAGAGCATAAGGTGATTTTATGGAAAGTATACTCGCAGATTTCACTTTTCTGTCGTGTAACTTGTGTATTGGATGTTGTATATCTAAGAAATGTCCGATTAGGAAAGGTGCGCCTCAAGATTCTGTATTAGCTTATAAACATCATCAGTTGAATGTGGCAATCGATAGTTGATTCTGAAGGCAGAGAAATAAGAGATAATAAGATTAAATACAAGTATGTAGAACAGAACAAAATAAAGTAGATAGAATAAAAGGAACTTTTTATTGTCTACTATCCGTGGAAATATATGTTTTCAGTTGATTTTTTAAATTTATTATGTATTAGAAATATATTTTTCAAAAAGTAATCATATATATATTTTGAAAGCGCTCGGAATTCTCTATCAACCTGTATATTTATGTGTTGACTTGCACTTATTTACTGAAAAATATTTCGGGTATAATGAAGGAACTCTCATTGTCGAATTCTCACGAACTGCATTTTTTATTCCTTTTTCGGTCGTTTTTTCAAATTTATTATGAATATAGAAATACATATTTACAAAAGTAATATATATTCTGATAGCGCTTGAAATTCTCTATCATGTTGTACTTCGCCGGCCCTTGACTTGCAATTATTTGCTGACAAATATTTCGAATATTGTTAATATACGCACATACCACATTCCCATAGATTCCATTCCGTGTTTCTTCAACTAACTCTTTTTTTTTTACAGACCACGAGAAAGAGCACATTCAAAAGTACAAAAAGATCTGAGTTCTCACTTTTACAACCCGTTTTTAAGAAAATAATAGCACAAGAAAAAGATTAAAGTGGAAGAAAATACCAAATTTTCAAAGTTTTCAATTTTTTAAAAATATTAAAAAGTTTTGCCAGCAAATAATTCGAAGTCAGACTGGGAAAGCAGAGATTAATTAAATAATGTAATTTACGTATTACATACCGCATGTAACATGCGTCATTCGATGCAGTTCTTTACACTGCTTACGAATATCAGTCCTTTTTCTTTTTATTAAAAATACTACCAAGTTAAAACGAGAATTCAAATGAAAAGTTTTTGGAATGTGTATAGAAGTTTACGCATTCTTGCAGATATACTGTGGGTACACTATACAAAGATGAACATTTTGTTATAGTTTTGATTGAGATTTGAGAAGCGGAAAACAGCTTATTATACTAAAAGAATTGATAAACGAAAAAATAATTATTGTAGAAAATAAATGTTTTATATTCAAACTGGATAGTTTTTCGTTAATAAGAAACTCAACATCCATCACTGGAATCGTTTTGATATAAATGTCACTTCATATATCGAAAAAAATGTTTAAAGTATGGTCTTGATGTTTTTTGATTAGTTTTTATCCTATAGTATGAGTTTTCTTAATGTTCTATAAATAATAGAAAAGATAGCGCAGATATCGAAGTTTATTATCCATTAATGATGGTTAATACATATGTTGACTCTAATGTGGAGATTTGGCTAAAATGTTAATGTTCACCGAATCTCGCGTCATATATCTTTTTTTATGTAAATCTGAATTCTCATTTTCACTACCGAGACCATCGTGTTTGCTGCGACTGTTATTATCATCGACATCTCCGATAATAATCCTTTTAATAGAACGTATTTGCTATATTGGAAACTTTACAGTGGAATTTTAAATTCCACTAATGGAAGTTAAAATTTCAATCCCAACTAGTGCAGATTAAAATTTTGATGCCTGCATATGAGTGGTTTGCACTGCTATTGTACCGTTGACAGCCGAAAAATAAACAAGCAATTACTTTTTTCCTACTGTATAGATTTCTTAACCTTTTTAAATTTTACTTCTCAAACCTTTGCTCACTACCGCTCTAAAGGGCAGCTCTTTAGCTGCTTTTGTCGCCGGGATATAACAGTTACATTGTCGTATGCCTTCCTAGTACTTCCCGCCTTTAAAACATCATCTTTTTTAAAAACGGAATGAATTACTTTTAGAGCATTTACAGCATTGATTTCCTTACTGTAAAAAGTAACAACTGTGTACTTCCGCACAGTTCCGCCCATCTATACACAGCTTTTATCCGGCAAAATCTCACTATGCCTGTCTTATAGAACTTTTCGAGTTGTGTGAAAATCCAACTTCTCTTAGATATTATGTGGAACATGTCGAAAAAGTGGTCAGAAAAGTCTATATTTTGTCTTCACTGGGCCTAGGAAAGCTTGCATTTTATTTTAACCATTGATGTTAAAATTTTTCTGACAGTACCAGTGGACAACCAGTGGTAAAAAGGTTGTATATTATCATCTGCAAATTAGGTTTTCGCCTTTGACGTTTCGAAAAAAATGTTGGGCGGGAGCCTTACCTACTTTGGAAAAAATCGCTCATTTTATAAAGCGCATAATTAACTCAAAGTTTAATCCAATGTAACTTTATCTGTGATCAAACGAAAGCGGCTTCCAAGCTTGTTTGAAGGGACCAAGCCGAAAAATCAGTTTTACTAGAAAAGTGTCCTAGGAGATTTTTTTAGTTCAAATTGTCGCATGAGATTAAACCCGTTATATCTCCATGAAAAGTACACTAAATTTAGGTTTATCGTATACCATTCGATAGAACTCGACGAGACTTATAGCCATGCATGTTTGATAGCTTTCTTATGTACTCATTGCCGTTTTAGAACTGAAGAATACTGAATAATACATTATCTCAGAAGTTTGTATATGATAGGAACTTTAGTAGCAATAAAATATATTGAATCACAAATTATGATAGGAGTCTCATTGAGATCTGTCCGTTGGTGTCTTAGGGCAAAGTTCTGAAGGCCATTTTATGTCGTCTTTATCGCAATGGGCTCGGGGGATTGTTATGCTTTGCGCAGCGAAAACTCATTTGTTGACAGAAATGAAAGTGGCAGCCAGGAAAATTAGTTTTTTTATCATTGCTGTCAGAATTTACTAAGATAGTAAAAATAATCACACGAAAGTTCAGCTTTTTACGATTTTTCATAGAAATGATACAATAACAGTAAAGGTACAATCGCTCATATGTGATGATGCATAGATTTTCATTAAGTAATGCTTTGAAAAATAAACCTTAGTTTACAAAGTATTAGAACAAGCTTATAATATTCGAAGGGCATTTCTAAATCTGAGAGTGAGTACAGAAACAATTTTTGAATAGTGATGGTTTGACCAACTAATAAACAGATCCTAATGTAAGATTCTAAAGCTGTTGTTTTTTCACTCACTCTCCGATTTAAAAATACCCTCCAAATATTATAAGCTTGTTCTGATATTTTGTGAACTAAGATTTATTTTTCAAAGCATTACTTAATGAAAATCTATGTTTCATCACATATGCAGGCATCTACATTTTAATTTTCATTAGTGAAATTTATTTATAATAGAATAATCTTCATAACGAATGCTAATTACAAGATCGAAAAATCATACTTTCTCGAAATAGTTTTTAATAATTAATAAAACATCAACTGTTCGTCAATATACAGACTGAGAAAATGTCAGCTTGACCACACAACTGTTATTCTATTAGATTACTACTCAATTTCAATAGAATTCGTATTTATGTCAGAAAGAAGATTGTTTATGGATTACGCGGTGAAATAAGAATGATATATTAGTAACAATCAAGATAAATTTCTTTTATTCAATATTGAAGACTAGAATAAACAGAATTTGGAGTGAAAGAGTACGATTTGTGTTCAGAGAGTCTATTGCGACATTTGTATTATTGTTATTTATTAAGAAAAAAACATAAATTTAGTTTCATAGGTACGTACTACAAAATTCACAGTATTTCTCAGCATATAACTTCCCCTGTTTTGTTCAGCTGTTGATATTAAAAAAATATGTGTAAAAAAACAAAATTAAATACAATATGACTGTATCACAATGTTGTTATATCAATAATTAGTTTTGGATGTGACATCGGAATTAACCACAGTGTTATTATGTAACTAATCAATGTTGCAAAAAAATACATCCAAAAAAAGAATCGATCAATAACGAGTGCAATTGTTAACCATTGTAAACGAAAATAAAATCCCTCGGAGTATATTGATGAATTATTTCGTTTTTGACTACTATGTTCTTTGATCAAATGGACAAGATTATTGTCTAACTGATGATCATACAATGATGATTGTCTCGGTGTATGAAATTGTTTTAGAATAAAATCAATAATATCACTCGAATTATCTTTTTGTTCTTTTTTCTTATTACTTTTTCGTTTTTCAACCAGACACAATGACGGTTCATCGCCATAAGCACGATAATTATTAGCACTTTCTAACTGATGATGTTGTTGTTCACTATCATTATCCGTTGAAGATGAAGAATTGTTATTCAAGGGTATTGACGATGTTAATGTTGGTTTAGATGTTAACACTAACAGTTCATCTTCATCATCTCTGCTAAGTTCATCACCATTCATTTTAACAGAATAATTCTTGTTTTTATAACGACGCGTTTGTCTAACCCACAAAGGATCGTCACGAGTCTTTTTTGAATGAAGATTCTGTTTATTTGTGTTAGGATGATTCTTTGCATAAAGTAGAACTTGTTGTAAAAGTAAATTTTCAATCATGTGTTCATAATTGACATCTAATTCATTTTTAGCAGCGGATAATGGCATTTGATTTGGTTCAGATGCTAATGGATGTTCCTAAGTACAGAAGAGATTAAGATATTCAATATTCATGAAAATAATATAAATTGTTCAATTGACAATGCACGTACAAAAAAAGCAATGACTAATTAATTTCGTGAGCGACCCATTGATTGATTAAACTAATCTTTTCGTTTTCTTTTAAAATGGGAAGAGATTTGTTTAATCAAACAATGTTGACATTATACACGCATGCGAAAGTATTCAACAGAAACGAGAAATACCGTTGTTCAATAACGAGTAACGTACAGTTCAAAGGATTTTGTAAATGAAATTAAAATTATGTTTTATAAATCAATTGAAGTAAAATTCTATTCTCTGAAAGTGTTAGGGCAACTTTTCTATTTCGATTCTCAGAATCATTATTTGATAGTGAATAAGTTCAACAACGATTATTAACAAATATGTTTTTTATTTATGTCAAACAATTATACTGATTATGTTAAGTATACAAATGAAATGAAAACTATTAGATTTAAATATTTGTCTATTTCTTGATTGATAGAATTCATGGAAAACGTCTTTCTGCAAATGGTGTATAAGCGGGTGGAGGAGGCGGAGGGTCAACTTTAATTTTATCATACATAACACCTTTTGGTGTACATAATGCTATTGCTCGTCCACTAACAATAGCCGCTAATAAACTAATTATAAAATTGATACAACTAACTGCTAATTGTGCACCAGCCAGACCAAATGAAACATCTTCTGAATCTGGACGTTTTGCTGAATTATTTTTGCCTGTGAAACGATAAAATCCAATAATAATCGCAAAGTAGACAATTAAATATATAGAAAAGAGTAATGATAATAAACTCATTGTAAAAAAGACATAGATAGATGTGTAAGTGCGTCTTAAACCTGAAATAATACCAGAAACACCAGTAAGAAATGTGAGGATGCCAAATGCCGTTGCTGCATATGTCCATGGCCACCAATGATTATAATAAGACGAAAAACTGTATAATAGTTCTTCATTTGAATTGAAATTAGTCGAACCAAGATTTGTCGGACCACGGTAAATGCGAGGAAATTCGAGAACTTGTATTAATAGACCAAATAAGATGAGCAATGAGCCAAATATTAAACCACTAGCTCGCCATCTCTCCCAAGATAAATTACGTCGCATACTCATATTTGGAAACATGATGATGGTACAATAAGAAAGACTAATCAATACAGGTATATCGTCACTTCTAACTTGTAGACTGTTTTCAATGGACAGTAAGAGAGAGAAAAGACTAAGTGTAGATTTTACTTTAAATGATAAAAAAGAAAAGTATGGCCGTTATGCATCATTAATCACACATACATCTTCAATTGTATGAACTTTGTGTTTGACCAGACATATAGAGAAGAGAATGTTAAGCCCTATACCGTTAATAAGTTAGGGATGGTCAGTCTCATTTCTTTCTTTTTCACGTTTAAACGACAGTAAAGTTCAACAGAGCATGGTATAAGCAGAAGAGATAAAATTATTTCAAAATCGAACACTGAAGTTTATTCTTCATAGTATTATGAATTGTGATTCTAGACTAATCAGTATTTATGAATTAGTTTTGTCTATCATTATCGTTGAGTGTACAATCATCAATCACCTACTTTTTTAAACATTGAAAGAATCTCTGACTGATTCATTGTTATTTCATTTGATGAGAATATCGAATTTTCAAAATATAGACAATTCAGATATATTTCATGATCTTCAGTTTTTGGAGTCACCTACTTTTTGACTAAGTACAGCTTTGACTTTTTCTTTCATTTTTAATATTGGTGGTAGTTTAATAAGTGCTAAATTAATTAACCAAGACGGTGCTTTATGACGTTCGGTAGTACACATCGCTGCCTGACTGTAGATATTTGAAACCACTACCGCCATGATCACTGATATTGACTACAATAAAATAAAAAAACATTGACATTTACTTTATAAGTTAAAAAAAAGAATTAATTTTACTCACAGTCAAACTCATTACAATTGTCAAATAAATTCCTGAGAATAAGAAAAAGTATTCAGATTTTTGACTAATTTTAAAGATATTAAGGGCATACCTATAATTGGAATCGTGTCTGACGTTGCAGGTACTTTTTCTGCTACCATAAGCATAAACACTGAAAACGCAACAAAGCAGGTTAATCCTAATGTTACTTTTTCTCCCGAACTTGTTGGAAGCCTAAAAAAATACAAAAATTGATTTAGTGCATACTAAAATCTATTAATTTTAATTTACCAGAAAGACATGCAAGTAAGTGCACTCAACATGGCACAAGGTATAATTACATTAAACACGTAGTACAATGGACGCCGTTTAATATGAACTAATGGAAAATAAAATTTTATATATAAATTTATCGAGAACAGTTGAAAATCTCTCCATTACCCCCATATACAAGTTCACCATAGGTCTTATTATTTTTTGATCTAAAATTTGTTAATAGAAATAGAGAAACATCTTTGATGTAAAGAGTCCCTTTACTTACCGCCACACGCGTCCTTGTTCAACATTTAGTATTTGCCATCCACTATTTCTGATACTTTCCGGTTGATCATTTTTATTCACTGGTGGTAGTTCATAATGAATTGACGATACATCATAAATCCAAGATGCAAACTTTAACGCACATATTTGATAATCAAATGGAAAATATTGAATATTCACTTTGCACGTTGTTCGTAATTTCATCAACACTGGATATATAACGTCGCCATTTGAATATACCATTACGTAGGGTCCTAAATAACAAGGCTCTGTAACTAATTTGAAAATCTAGGTTTTTTTTTGTAACATACCACTAACGACACCTTGATAAGCGCCCGGCGATTCTAATGATAAATCAAATGCACTAACAAATAAAAAAAGTCAAATTATTTTAGAACTATAAACAATTGTTCTTTTTTATGTTACCTGTTGTATATGTACGAATCCGGTAGCCATATTCGATGCGATGGTAGTCGAATACCGCGAACTCCTTGGTAGTCCGATTGATTCCAACCCAAAGCTTCATCTCGCCATTTCTAGAAGAATGATGACTTTCAACGTGAAAATTGATCAAAACATTTTGTTATTTATATTCACAAAATTATTGTTAAATGAATCTTCTCATTGCATAAGACTATTCTAATAACATTGAAAAGGTAGAAATTGCTTAAAAAAACATACCTGTTCAATTCTCACATTTGTCGTTAATATTTGAGTTTTTTCTTCTAATTCAAATAATTGTGTAATATCCATTCTAAAATAAATTGTCACAACTGACTGTGCATTGTAAACCGGTCTTACACTAGGTTCATAATTGCGTAATAATTCTCGTAATAATTCTTGTTCGGATGATGTAGCTGTAAAGAAACAAAAAAAAAACACAAATAATAAGTAAAATTTAAGTGAATAATAGAGAATTAAATAGAGCAATATACTATTACTGGAATACAAATAGGATTTGAACATAAAAAAAAAAGAGAAGAAAAAGACAACATTAATATGATAACATACCAATTTGAGTAATGTTATTAATAAACCAAATCAAAACAAATAGAAATAGTTCGATTTGTGAAAAACATTTTTGTATCAAAATTAATTTATTTTTTCTAGTCATAAACAAGTGACGATAAAAAAAAGATGACGATAAAAAAAGAATATTAGAAAAACTAAAAGAATATTTTCTTGTTTCTCTCTCTATATATATATATTGTTATTTGTTATCAACGAAATATTGGTTGTTTCATATTAATCGACCTTCTTTGTCTTACTATTATCAACATCACTTGCTTATTATTTTGTATCGATTTTTTTTCTTCTTGCTCTTTTCTTTCCCTGAAAATGTGTGACATAGATCATTTATCATCAAAACAATTCTTGTTTTTAATAGATGTTATCGAACGGTTGGAATAAATTGTAGATTAGAACATCTGTCTGAGAAAATAGTTGTAGTCACTCTATTACTATCATTTATCAAAATGGAGAACGAATTTTTCGAGAATAAATCAACAAATATACTAATAACAGAAATATGATAGATATACGTATAACGTTCGTATGCACTTAAAAATTAACTAGAGTTGCACATATCGAACATCTAAATGATACAAATATACAAATGTAAAAAAAAGACTTGCTTTTAACATCGGATATGAAAAAAGAGTGTTGAATGATATAAATTCTTATATGCACATCGGAAGCAACAAACAGAAAAAAAAGGATTAAATTTGATTGAAAAAAAAAGGAAAACCGAAATATATATTAAGAGAGAGAGAGGGAGGGAAAGAAAAGGGGAAGAAGGAGAATCTTTTCTTCTGGAACTGAAGTATCATTTTATCATAGAGACAAAAACAGAATAAACGAAATCTATTTTTTTTTCTCATTATTAAAAAGAAAATTATTCGTTTATTAATAAGAAATATTTGAATCAAAATGAAAAGATGTGTCATGACATTTTTTTACATCAGATTTTGTTTTGTGATTAACGTTTATCTTTCATTATACAACAATTATTGACCCGAAATACCCGACATTAGCATCATCTAATATAAATTTTGGGAATGCATATTAAAGATGAGTAATATTTTGTTCAACGAAAGTGAAAAAGCTGAAATAACGATCCTCTTATAACTATATATACCGTTAATATGTGCAAGTAAAACTATGGCAGAACAATTGCCTATATTACTATACTGAATTGTTCATATGTGGGAGAAGACTCTATATTAGCTACCATAAAAACTGCAGCTGTCACATAAATATTGAATAATCAATAATCAATCTTTAGAACAATAAAAACTGTCAATATTTTCTTTTGTTACAAATAATAAAAGGTCAATTGCTAGCATACGAACATTTTCTCTTTTTCTCTTGTTTAAAAGGAAAACAGATTGTCAAGAAAACGTCAATGTATGTTATTGATACGGAGTCTGAAAGATGTTGCGATATCTCACACTTTTTGTAGAAACGCTAAAGTAATAAATATATAGGTAGTTTCAGTAGTAAAAGTTTTAAATGTATGAAGAAAGTTTATGTCAGGAGGACCGTGTAATGGTGAAACTTTATCCTCAGCGCAGCACTACCTCATCTATGATCAGTTAACATAATTCACCACACACCTCGTAGATTTTTACCAAATTCTATCAGAATTTTGCCAAATAGATGCGTTTTTGCTGCGTTGAGGATAAAGTTTCACCGACGTATCTCGTTATTATAGTAGCCGAAAAGTGATTAACGTCTACCAAAGACACTAGAAACTAGTAATAATTAACCACAGATTTTGCATACTGCAGTTGTATTTGTTAAAGAGAGTAGAAAACAAATTAACCTCGTATTGGTATTCAGAAGAAGCCGCATCATTTGATCGCCACTATCGCCGAAAAGTTGCCTCTGTTTATAGCGACACTCCCCAACATCGCACTCTCAACGAATCTAATATTATTTTACACATTGAGCAGTCATAACTGACAAAAAACTATTCATTAGGTCAATATCATTTATTGCTATTAACTATACATTTTTCACAGTTGAGTCGGAGTAAGTCAACTTGATTTGTTGTCTTCTCAACTAATATAAGAGAGAATAACATTAGATGGAAAGACACATTTATGTTTATATATATATATATAAGCAGTTGAAGAGTATATAAACGAGAAGTTCTCGATCCTTAAAGTATTTTATTTGATTAGGGTACAAGAAGAACAAGTGCTAGAAGCAAATTGTTAAATCACCATAAAGACCCAAGCACTTGTCTTGATTGTAGAGTATTTTCCCTTGGAGTCAATAATTCAATGGCCGATCGCCGTTGAAAAGATGATTGTGATTAATAATCATTATGACCCTAGTGAATGTACTTTGTATAAGTCGTTGCCAAATGTCGGTACTTGATTTGTTTTCAACCAAGTACTTGGACAAGTCAGTCAGACTTTTTTCTTTTGCATTGACTACTTGTGTGTAAACACTACAATATCAATTGTTATACACTTATGACGGATTGGGTAGAGAAAATGACACCACTTTGCAAAAATTTTTCGCAAGTTAAATTTGATCCGAAAATTTTATATTTATGTCAGAAAGATAGAGAATTGGGTCTAGATTTTATTCATATATTATTTTAAAAATAAGCATGTCTCATTCTTTTACAACAGTAAAAATACTAGCCCCGAAGCCCCGAAAATCTCAACTGCAAGATCAGAAAAATTCGAAATCGAATTTTTTCCTCTTAAGTATTTTAATTCCTAAGTATTGGTTCAAAGCCTAAAAGGTGCAGAATTTTTTTTTGGAATATCGAGCTATGTGTTGTTTCTTATACTGTTACTGTTTTGTAAAATGGAAACAGCAAAAAGACATCTTTGACCGACGAGGTGGTACTTCATTTTAGAGACTTCCTCAAAGTCTTGACTTATAAAAATTATTGTTTTTATATCAAAAGATATAGAATTTCAAGCTCTACAAGATGCACTTCTTTCTGTGGTTTGCATCGTTTTGGTAAGGGATGACAGAATTGAGATATCTTCCTTTAGAGGGAATGGCGCCAAACACAAATAATGACCTAATCGTTGCAGCCTGTTTGTACAGTTCTAAAACTTTGTTTAAAAATATGGTTTTGTGCCCCAGCAATTAAGAATTTATTGTAGTTTTTAGTACCATGTTTGAATTGCGCGAGCAAAACTTCTATGAAGATATAAATCTTTTTTTTTTTCAGTGTAGTGGTGAGCAATTGAGATTTGTGGGACGTTGGATATTTTGAATACAGTGAAAAGATGATCAAGGTACATCTTAATCTAAACACAGTACTAGAAATTAGAGAAAATTCTGTCTTTTAAGCTCAGAACGAAGCTTTGGAAGTTGATATGACTAGTCAAAGGATGAGTTGCAAAGTGGCATCATTTTCTCTGTCCAATCCGTTAAAGTAAACTTATATATTTTTACTGGGTTGAACAAACTTAGTAGTCGTGCATGCATTTGCTCTACAAAAACGGAGTATAGCTCCAGAATATGTATAAAATACAAAATAAAAATAAGACTAAACTTTTTCAAGCAAATTTACTTGCATTGTGTCAACCAAGTACTTACATTTTACTTGGAAAACTCCACAAATACTGTGCTCATTACTTAACCCAAGTACTTGCGCAAGTGCTTCGTAGAACAGTTTTCAGAAATTTTTATGTTTCTTTATTTGTTTTATATAGTGCTTTAAGAGTCAAATAATAGCTTAATTTCCATGCTTACAACTTTACGTGTATCGTTATGTAAAGCACGATGTTTACACATTCGATTTCTTTACACAGGCAAGAAAGAACTTTCTCCATTAGTCGCTTATCAAAAAAAAGTCGATGACAATGAATTACGTTTTGATCAACATCAACATCATCTGATGTTACAACTCGATCAACTTTGGTATCAACTTCAAAATTATGAACCGTCGTCAAATGCGCAATCTAGTGGAAAAACTTTATTTTCAATATTTTCAAAAAGTCTAGGATTTGAGCGTAATATACAGAACAAACCTAAAGATCAGCCAAACTCAATTTTTATATACGGTGGACCTGGATCTGGAAAAGTAGGTAGAATGTATTTGTACAAATTCTTTCATTATTATCTTTGCTATTCTCTAACAAATGAGCGATAGTTGAACCAATCGTCCGCATGATTATTTCTCCTGTGAGAGATTTGAATGGATTTGATTGAAGTTAAATGTACTGTAGAGGAAGAGTCATTCTACCCCGTTCTGTTACTCAGCTAGTTTGATGTAAACTGGATAAAAATAATTCGCTTTTATGAAACTGTGATATAAAAGATAGGAGTGCAAGTCTGTGAGGAGAACCGTCTGGGAAATGAGAAAATTTTATCCGCATCCCATGTTACTTGTAGAGACTTGATTGACATTTTGTTAGGCAACTAAATCTTCTAAACTTATTAAAAACTCTTTATTTCTATGCTTATGTCATCCTTCCAGTGACTGACTGCATAAATAAACAAATTACAGAGTTTTTTCAACAACAAATATGTATAAATGAGCATCATTTAGAAGTAAAGGAATTCATTCATTCAGTCTAAGTTTAGATGGAAAATATTTGCAACAGTTGTATAATATTATGATGAGATGTGTAATTTTTATCCGATACGCGAAATAATCACCTCTAGATTTGAAGAATCTACATTGATAATCTTTTTCTGTTATTATTATAAAAGTTTTCTCATTCAGCTGTTATAATTTTTCGAAGAGTTTGCTGATGGAAATATTTTACAAATGTGTGCCAATAAAAGAAAAACGTCGAATTCATTTTAACAGTTTCATGTTGGATTTCTATAAACGTAAGGTAGATAGATATTTTGATAAATATGAATGAAAAATACCTATTGTATTCTTTTTATAGGTCTGAATCGCTTGAAAAAAACCAATGATCACAGCAAAAATGACGTACTTTCCACTGTTGTTCAAGATATACTATCTGAAACATGGTTATTATGTTTTGATGAATTTCAAGTAACTGACATTGGCGATGCTATGATAATAAGACGTTTGTTTGAACATTTATTTGCCAATGGAATGGTCATGGTTTCAACATCTAATCGCCGTCCTGATGATCTCTATTACAATGGTTTAAATCGTGAATTATTTCTACCATTTATTCCATTTTTAAAAAAACATTGTCAAATATACGATATGGGTTCAACGCTTGATTATCGTCTCACAGGAACAGATGGTCAAGTACAAACCGTGTTTGATGCAAGAAAACCGTCTACAGAGCGTGAAATTAACTTATTATGTGAAAAACTAATTGCGCCACATACACCACAACCACAAGAATTAGATGTAATGGGTAGAAAATGTTATATTCCATGGCAAGCACGAGGTGTCGTTAAATTTACGTTTCAGGAGTTATGCACTAAAAATTTATTTTCTGCAGATTTTATTGCAATCGCCTCAACATATCATACATTGGTTCTATTGAATATACCAAAATTAAATATCGAACATCGTGATCAAATAAGACGTTTTATTATTTTAATTGATGAATTGTACAATTATTACACAAAACTAATATGTTCTATACTAGTCGATGATGTTCGAGAAATTTTTACTCCACTAAAAGATAATAAGAATTTAAAACGAGAAGATCTGATGTCAATGGACGAATTTCACGCATTCGATCGAACAGTATCCAGACTAATTGAAATGCAAAGTAAAGAATATCTGGCTAAACCAAAATTATTTTCAAAGAAAGTGCAAGATGAATGGTCAAAACTCTGATTGTATTTTTTTTGTTTTCTTTTTTCCTTTTAAAAAAAGTATTTTTATATCCCTAGTTTAAAAAGTCAATCAATCATAGGAATCTGTTTCACATTTGCACCGTGTAACCTTTTCGCGAGCAAGTGTCTTTTTTTATATTGTTTTCTCTGTCCGTAGCATTTAGTTTTGACATATTTATTGTTATATATTAAGCTTTGAATAACTGAACAATTATTTATGAGTATAAGATTTTAGTGAGAACGCCAATATCTATTCTCATTGAATAAAAATATTCGAAGATATTGGTAAAGAAGAGCACGTATATCCTCGTGGAAAAAATAGTTGCACACAGTATTTTTAAGATATTTTCCTTACGAAAATATACTTTTACAAAAATGATCAGATATTCTGATAGCGCTTGGAATTCTCTACAATTCTGTATATTTATATCTTGTCTTGCATTTATTTGCTGAAAAACAAATTGAGTGCAATGACGGTCCCCACATTGTCAGATTCCCACGGACTGCATTTTGTTACTATTTCTTCAACTTGCTTTTTAAATTTATCATCACTATAGAAATTGCTTTTTATAGTAATTATATATTCTGATAGCGCCTAAAATTCTCTATCATCCTATATATTTATATCTTGTCTTACATTTATTTCCGGAAAAGTAATTTGAGTACAGCGAAGGTACCCTCAATTGACAAGTACCAAAAAGGTGCATTTTTTCGCTACTTTTTTAGTTTTTTCCACACCATCTGTTCTAAAAGATTTTTTTACAGACCACGAGAAAGAGCACATTCAGAAGTACAAAAAGAACTGACTTCTCACTTTTGTAACCCTTTTATTACGGAAATAGTAGCAAAAGAAAAAGGTTCGGGTGGAAAAAAATAACAGATTTTCAAAGTTTTCATTTTTTTCGTCTTTCGTATAATCTGCGTAGTTTTCTTGATTGAAGCTCTAAAATTAAAGATTAGGTATGGTTTTGTAGAGCATTTCGCGGCGCATCTTTTTAAAAAAACATTAACCTTTGGGTCCTAAAGAAACACGAGAAAAATAGAAAATATTGAGATGCCGCACTCATTGCAATTTCTGGGAATCTGACGATGACGGATCCGTCATTGCACTCAATGTATTTTTCAGCAGATAAATGCAAGACCGGATTTAAATGTACAGAATTGTAGAGAATTCCAAGCGCTATCAGAATATCTGATCATTTTTGTAAAAGTATATTTTCGTAAGGAAAATATCTTAAAAATACTGTGTGCAACTATTTTTTTCCACGAGGATATATCATATGACAAATAAGAGCGTATTAAAATCGATCAGTAATCCGCTGGAACTCATAATAATTATGATTTAGTGCAAAAAAAACAGACTTTTATATGCATATTTATAACTTGTGCTCATGTAGTGCGAACAAACATGATCGGTATATGTAAGTCTAATAGAGACTGTTCATTTCAACCAAGAGTATCTTCTGCCCTCTTTTTTGAAGTAATTTTAAAAATCATGTTATTTATGATTGACTGGTATATTCATTTGACGTTTTTCTTTCAAATTTTGTTTACGGAAGTCTTTGCATGGATACTTGAAAGACAATTTTGCACGTACAACTGAAAACTTATACTTATACTGTTTGACCTGGGTACGTTACCGCGCATCTTCCCTTCCCACAAAAGTTAATCATAGCGGTATTAATTGTATTAATATGTTGTTCATGTAATTGCTCAGGCAATTAACTGTTATTCCATATTTTCCATTTCCATGTATTGAGGACAGACACAACAGAAAAGTATTTTATAATATTCTAGGAGTTATGTTTTCTTGACTTTAGAAATATAAAGTCGATTTCGTTGTTCTTTTGAGATCCCGTTCGTTCGTTCTTTCTCTCCTTTTAGCCAAAAGAACCTGGACTTGGACTCGTCAATGCCACATCAGGCTTTAGAAATACATCGGTTACCTTTTTTGGGTGGTGGGTTTTTGTGTGCGGTTTAGTTCCTAAAAACTCCTTCCTCTTTTTGTTTGTTTATTTCAGAGAGAAAAAACTAATAAAAATATCGTTTTTTTAACAATGTTGAACCATGAAACTCGATTTGCTACATTTCTTGATTCCTCCGTTAAATCTCCTCCAGAGTTTCCCAGGTCCATGAATACGACCGTCCTATACGGTCGTATCGGTCAAATTACGACGACGTAATTTGACGTATACTATAGTGTTTCATCGTATTTTGACGTAAACCCGGCCAACGTATTACGTCAGCCGTTACGACCGTCGTATTTCAACGTAAACGACGTCGTTTACGATGGATGTAATACGTTGATCGGGTTTACGTCAAAATACGGCGACATACTATAGTATACGGTCGTGAATCTTTGACCTGGGTTGCTATTACCGTTGAATTTTTTGGTGTTGATCTAAGAATTTTTTTGCCGATGTTTCTGCTACTGACTTTAACTTGTACTTCTTGCCCTTCTAGTATTGTAATCTGAAAAGATTAGAAGATTTAACAAAATGTGAAATTAAGTTTGAAAATGATCAAGACAACGTAAATAATAAATATGGAAAAATTGATTGGGTTATAACGTAAGTGGAGAAAGTTTGTGGAGCAGAAAGGAAACGAACACACCGTGGGTTATGGGCAACAGGCACTGAGAATTACATTCTAAGAGATGAATAGTTTCGTTTAGCTGTTTTACACCTCCAGTCGCACGCGAAAAGTCTTTCTTTCTTTGGTCTTTTAGACATAAAGATCAAGATGTTCATAACTTCGTGCGACGTCTAATTGTCAAACTTGCTGAAATAGTTCAATTGAAAATCGAACAATTCGAAAGTAGTACTGTGCTAGAAACATCACCAGCACATCACTCTCTTTCAGAAGAACCGGTAAATGTCTGCTTCACATCAAAAACTCCTTGTCGACTTTTCGTAAGTATGACAGTCCACAGCGGCGACGTAGGTGACAATACCACCACCATAGAGAGCGGCGAGTCAGAAACAGCCTCAGCCATCTAGTCACCACCACGAAAAAGATGCTGTTTCTTTTGTGGTGTGTTTTTTGGTTTTTATATTTATTTTTATTTTTTCGGCATAAAGCCTATTCAGTTGGTTCATCCTATTTTTTGGATTCTTTTTATTTTTTTTCATTTATTTGTTCTATATTTTTATTTTTCGCTTTTTGTTCTTCAGATTTTTTAATTGTTGACGAGCTTTATTTTTAAAATAAAGCGAAACCCGTCTGACACTAATTTATCTGCACTTGAACGAGCATTTTAGACAAATAAGCATTTAAATCAAGAGAGCGTCGAAGCGTTTTCTGAATAGAGGACCTTTGACCTAAAACAGTTGAGATTTAGATGTGTTTTTGAATAAAAACCATTTGTCTTTCATCTTCCTTTCCTCCACATTTAATCGATAAAAGCGAGTCTAGACCGAAAATCCAATAAGCACGTGTCCATAACCATTTTTATATTATATTCCGCTCAAGTTTCATCACGATTCGCTAACAATTTAATAGAGCGTACACGAGGGTATTAAACATCTGCTCAAAAAGCTGAAACATAGAAAAAAATAATGGTTTAGTTTTGTTTTCATTCGATTCTATGCTTGAAACTGTGGCTGTTAAAAAAACCTTCACGTCTTAGTAGCTTTTGTCCCGTGAGTTATAAGTTTTTTTTAAAACAGCGCCTTCTTCAGTTTTTTGACTATATTTTTGCCAGTTCAAAAATGAGAATTTTGTTCGATACGTCGTGAAAAGGATTAAGTAAAACTGAACAGATTGTATCATTTACTGTTTCATTAACTTCGAAAGCGAAGTTGAGAAAAATAATTTAGTAAAACTTTCATAGTTTTCCAAAAATTAATTTTCATGTAACCTAGCGTTTCTCGTTTGACAAACAATATCTCCTCCATCTTATAGAGTACAAAATTCTGAACAAGATAAACATAGTACGAAAGTTTCAGATGGTGGGTCGTGAAGGACACTATGAAAAAAAATGGTACTAGACCGTACGCAAACGCTTTTTTTAATGGAAAAATTCTTTTGTAGAAGAATACAAAATGGTACATGAATCGACTCGGCTCTCTGCGCTGATGAGGAATATGACGTTTATTTCTCAGCAGAATATTCTACAGACTCAAAGAATAAAAGAAATGTTTTCGAAAACGAAATTCTATTTTTGAGAAAATAAATAAAGCATAAAATCGAATGAGAATTAAATAAAACATACATGATCTTTTTCCATGGTTTGGTAGTTCTCAATGCTCCCCTCCCGTACATCCTCTCTTAATAAATCAGAATACATGACTTTTAGATTAAGCACCTAATTAACTACAGAAAACGAGAGCACACAGAATCTTTAAGGATTTCGGCGCTTATCAGTAGTGTTCACATTCACACAGGTGACGTTGTTCATTATTTATGTGTCTATTAGAGCCGTAGCATATAGTGACAAGTTGCGCACACATAACAAAAGATATTTGCCTTAAATTTTATGTTTTGACATAGTAATATTAGAAAAACCAGAATAAAAAAATATACTCACGTGCCTTTACTTTTCTCAATCACATTGCACGACAAATAATGTTTTTTTGTGTTGTTCCCCTTTGTAGAAAAAACAGCCTTATGTCCTCCTGTACTATTTTTTTAGTTCGCATCCTTAAGTACAACTGAAACTTATACTTAAACTATTCGACCTAGGTACGTTATCGCCTCTTTCCTTCTCACAAGAGCTCATCATATCATATTCAAACAGAAAACCTAGGTTTCATGTAGGAATGCTTATATTTTTATATGTTGACAAAGGGAAAAAAGATATCCATTCTAAGATATCGTTCCAGGTATTGGTGATAAAATTCTTAGCCTCATCAGATGGAGTTTTAGATGGTCGTAATATATCTGAATAAAATTTATGGAACGACTTGTTACAAAATTCTGAACCAAAATACATCGATTTTTTCGACGTTGTATCTTTGGTATATTCAATCTCCTCATCTATGACATCAAGGTGGAAAAAGAAGATGGTTATGTCGTTAGATGGAGATTATGTGTTTCTATTATACTCTATTCTTTTCTTTCAAATTAATTTTAATAATTTGGTAAATTCTTAAAATTGATGAGAACTTTTTTTTCTGATTTTTTTTTAAAAAACAAATGTGAGAGTTAATTTTTTGAATTAATAGATAAATACCATTCCATCTTTTCTACATTAAAAATAATTTTTATAATATTTCCAAAAGGATGAGATGTCTGTCTGTGAACTAAATGAGTCTAAAGCATTTTGCAACACGTGGAAAACAAGCAACGAAAATACCACTCATATTTTTTTGTCTAAACAATGGATGCTTTCAGGTTAAGAGGATTAATAAAGAAGTGACTATGTCAGAAAACAAATATCAGCATTCAAAAAAAACGAATATAAAATTTTTTTGTCAATGTATTTATGTACATATGACCAGTTCAAATAGCTGCTGACATTAATTAAATTCTATTGCTTTTAAATCAGACGATGTTTTTGAGCCATGCAATTCTGCTGACATTTTGTTTCGGTAAAAATTTTATATTATCTATATAGTATTTCGTATATTTTTCTAGACTGACTAATTTTTACAACCTTTAGTTATACTATGTAGCCTCATCTAAGCTCTCTTCAATTTTACATATGCCATTAAAATAATAGTATTTTTTCAGTGAGAATTTTTATCTGTAATATAACCTTTTTTTGAAAGAGTGTGTGGTAATATCTATATTAACTAACGTAGCAAAATGTTATCTTGTATTTTGATAGGTATTGCATCCGGTCTTGTTTGTTATGTATGTCAGGGTTGTCCAGAACCATTCGATTATCAAACAAACGCCAATAACTCTTGTCCCGGTCCATGTATGGTAAGTCTTGAGCAATTGTTAATTGAACTTTTTTTTATTTTTTATTTCTTCTATACTAGAAAATAAGGACTTACGTACCTACAATGGGAAGTTACGTTTATAAAGCGTGTACAACAACATGTACACCACACCAGCGATATTTTGGTTTTGGACGTTTAACCGTAAACTGTTGCAGCGATGCTGATGGTTGTAATTCTACAACACAATTGTACAATCAACGAAGAAACGTTTTATTAATATCTTTACTATTTGTCATTTTAATATATTTGAAAATTTGATTTGAGTAACAAAACAAAATGTCTGATTCACTTGTATAAAATAATCAAAATATTTTTTGTTTTGAAAATACTTTTATGACTCCTATCATTTTGGGATTTAGTTTGCTTAAAGTGTTAAAATAATAACCTGTTCTCGATGAAAATAAATAAATATATGTAAGCATTTAATAGAAATTCAATGAAAGAATACTAAAAATGAATAATCAAAACATGAACTCAAGTTTATTGTTATAATATTAAAAATTTTATATTTATTAATAATCATAGTTATTGTATGTTCTAATGAGACTAAACTTCTCAATGAAAGAATGTTTAGCCTGTTTTGCCGTTTTTACGTTTGATTGTTACGACTGTTAGAATTTGTGAAATATCCTATAATGATTAAGCAAACACGATTACGATTATTTATAAATAACGTATATAATAGCGCAGAGCTACACGTTCTACCTAATATCTCACTCAAAGTAGAAAATTTATCGTAATTACTCCACGATCTGATTTTTGAACTATTTCTTAGTAATGCCACCCAATGGTATAAATAGACTGAAGATGAACTCTATTTAAATGAACTTATAAACACAAGTAAGATTAGAGTTTCACGCAATGAAATGTTTTATGTATACATCACATTGAGTTTTTGCTGTAATTACCAGAAAACCATAATAAAACTATATTGTAAGAGAAATTTCCAATATTTTTGCTTTCGTTAAGCTTGAAACTGTTGATTTTTTTTGTGTTTTCTGTTTAGAAAGCAACGGCAAAGTGTGAAATACATAATCACTACGTACGTTTGTAGTACCATGCATCTGAAAATTGATTGTTGTTATGGCCAGTTATGCAGCCAATGTCCATCATTCGAACAATCAATTATACTTCTTCAACTTACTTCTGTTGCAATTTTTGCTCTGTTGTAAGAATATCTTGTAAAGACTGATAATAAACTGATTGGACCTGTCAATTGACTTTAGAATCATGCTGTTTAGACCAATGTAATTTAATAACACTAAAGTGATTCTTTAACTAGTTAGAACATACACAATGAAACTAAAATTTTAATTTGCTGTAACTAAGAGTTTGAGTCTGGAAGTGCGCTCATTCCTACCATATCAAAATAGCAACAATTTCGTTTATGTTTACTGTGTAAAACATAGTTGAAATATTTTGATGATAAACTTTGGCTTTTAACCACGTTGTTCTCGTTATTAGATCTTTCATTTCTAACGTACCATGTGAGATTGATTAAATCTTTTTGAAGGTAAACATGCATGTAGCTTGGATAGTAGCGATTGTTACTGGTTCCCTCATGGCTCTTGCAATTATTTTATATTTTCTCCTAAAACTTTGTATTCATTACTATTACAAACGTCAAAATGTTTGGTACGATATTACCGATAGAACACGTCTACAAGAAAATATCATTGAAGAACAAAACGAGTTAAAAAGAACAAAGTCACTAAATGATGATCGACGACAAATAACATTTGATCAGAGTCCACCAGATGAGGATTATATTTGGAACAATAAATTATCTGATGGTGTTCTAACTGCAGTTCAAAGTAAACAATTTCATTCATGTTCTAATATCATAAAATTTGTCAAAATAAGACACGAGCGTAAAATGATCACAAATCTTCGATTTCAAGTGCCACCCGTAGGTTATATGTTTATCTGTTTATCGTTTTTGAATGCTGGTCTTTTCTATCCAACTGTTCTTTCTCTTCTTCTGAATACATTGTTGAGATTCAAAGTAAAAACTTCAACATTATTTTTATTACTTTAGGTTTTTAAGGATTTAAATTCTGATTGGGATGAATTCAACGATGATATTGAAACGTCGATTGCTAAACAACCAAGTATATTTCATCTAATTCATAATCAGCCATTAAATAATATCCATTCTTCTCCTTCTAGATAAACAATTAGTTCCACAAAGAGAAATAGAAGATGAGTCAAAAACGGTTCTGAAACAATCATTCGATTTTGATAGAAAACTCACCAAAGACAAGTCATCAAATACATTTTTAGAACAATTTTCTTCATTAAGTTCGACAACATGCATTACACCGTCTCAAACTCACAGAGATGATAAATCTTATATGACTGCTCAATCTGATCTTAATGGAGATGAAAAACGATGGTATGATCCTGTCTGCAAATTAGTCAGGAAATATACGTCCTTTTTTAGCAAAGAAAAGAGCAAAACGACAATGGTTACATCAGACACTGTTTGCCTTTCCGTTGGAGAGAGATTTCATAGTACACTTGAGTCGGATATCTTGAAAATATCAGACGAAAATCAAGAGATAAATTTTAACCGAATTAAACGTTCGCAGAATTTGAAACGAGAATTGCTGACAACGCTTTCTAACATAAATAACACTCATGCCCAATATAACACTGAAAGACATTTCTTAATTAATATGTATACTGTATCAGATGACGATGTACAAATAAATAGTTATGATAATGTCTCAGGCGTCTTTTGTTTTCCAAATTGCCAAAATGCTATCTGTGAAAAGGTAATCTTAATTGGACAAGGTACGTCAAAACAAAATAATTTTTAAATGCCTCCCTTGTAATAGAAATTGTCGTATACTAGATCAAACACCATACAGAAGGATATAGAATATCTAAAAGATTTTCAATGAATGAAAATCTTTTTTTGGATTCAAACTCACAGCCTTCCAGATCTTATTACGTCCGTTTTGATTCATCATATTCCCAATAAGATCAACAATTCATACTGAATAGCCTATGATAAGTGTGTGAGCTACTGTAAGTAACTTTGAAACAAAAAATATCGCTGTTAATCGTAGTAGTTTCTCATTTTTAATAAAAATATTATGTACCTTTTTCCATAGTTACAACTATTCTTCTATCAAATCTTCTCCTTTCTCTACCATTAAATCTCAACATACTCTCTTACTTCTACCTCCCATTTTCCGACCACTTATCAGCACGAACATCCATCATCATGATTATCATTATTATTATGAATTAATGAACATATTAATCTCGATACCAATAAAATCGAAAAATTATCTATCTCTTTTTTGTTAATAATTTAAAATAGTTGTCATATTTTTTGTATTTTAACATTGAGCTCATTTAAATATGTAATCGAACTTTTATATCAACATTTTTTATAATTACGTGTCGAACTTTTATACTTCATATTTGATTATTTATTATCAATATGTTTGTAAATGACGGGATTGATATTGATCAATGCAAGGGTGATAATAACATGAATAATAGTCAAAAAGAAAATGCTCTTTTGTTAAACGAAATTCTTCCATGGACATTCAACTGTCGAACATTACTGGATGCAGCTAGAGAAGGAAGAACATCGGAATGTGAAGAACTAATACGACTTGGTGCTGATATTAATGAAACTGATGATTTCGGTAATACACCGGTGTGGACTTCATATTTTCATGAACATCTTGAAACATTGTTTACACTCTTACAATTAGGAGGTATTATAACTCGGTATTGTTATTTTAATATCCATCTAAAACAATTCTTTCTTCTGTTAAGCGGACACAAATACGAGAAGTGGAGATTCAATGGCATCTGATTTACACAGGGCATGCGCATTAGGAGATCGAACATTAATTGAAATTCTTGTCGAATGCAATGCCAATGTTAATTTAACTGATTTATACGGAAAAACACCACTGATATATTCATTAGAATATCCATCATCCAACTACACATTTGAATTAGTGGTAAACATGATCCACCTTCTTTATGTTCATTTCACCTGAACTATTATATTATTTTTATTTGTTTTAGTCCTATTTAGTTAGTCGTGGTGCTCATATAAATCATAGTGATCTATCAAAATTGACTCCGTTACATTATGCCTGTTACAGAGGCGATCCAGCAGCTGTTCAATTTTTGATCAAAAATGGAGCAGATTTAACAGCAGCCAATTCATTGGGCTATACCCCTCTTCGTTACGCACTCAGTTGTTTGTCTTATTCGTCACCATTACAACATGAACTGTACACAAACCGTTTAAATATTTGTGAAATTCTCATTAACAGTTTTCCATTAGATTGTCTTGGAAATGCCATCATATGTATTGATACACCTCAATTATTTCCATTATTCGATTTTTTATTTTATAGTTTAACGCAAAATCGTCTGGATCTTGAACAATTGGCTTGGGACTCAATAATGAAAATTCGATGGTCAGATGATAATGGTTTTCAAATGGTATCACAGAGTGTTTACGTTTATAGTTACCATTATCAACATGTTATTTATCTTGTACAACGAATGGTAATTGAAAATTTTATGAGTTTAATGGCATTTTATGTTGAACGTGTAATGTTCGACTCGAAACCAAATCGATTTCATTTACTATTATATTCGGTTTATGTTGATGAGGGCATTCATATGCTCAAATGGATCTCCGAATGCTTTGGTATGTAAGTTGTATCATTAAAATTTTTATTTAAACATTATTATTTGAATAGGTATGTCATTGTATTATCCACGACAGCAAGCATTACAAGCTGCTTTATATAAATGTCAAGAACAACCAGCTAAACTGAAATTTTTCTGTCGAAGGATTGTTAGACAACGCTTAAAATATGCTATTCATCGTAATTTAGCATCCTTAGAATTGAGTAAAAATATTACTGATTATGCGCTATTGGATGAATTAAATGATGGTTCGGGTATAAAACTGGACAGTGTCGATTATTTATGTTTATTAATTGGAGGAAATACATAAAAAACTTCACTGTAAAATCGTCTACGATTTAATCAATTTTTAAGATATTTAAGATTAATTAAGAGTATCACTCATTGAGAATATACTCATATCAAAATGGATGAATATTATCAGAATTCAAATATCATTCCGTTTTCAATTTGAAAGAAAATCAAACCTTTTTTGTAAATTATTGATTAAAGACTTGCGATTTTTAATACAGTATATATGTATGTAAGTATACTGAATGTAACATTCTCGATCGTGTCATTTTAGAACTTATTATACTCTTTCTCATTCATCTCACGATTATAGTATGAATATAATTATAAAAATAGTAGAGAGAAAATCGATATCTTCGGCGTTCTACAAAAAAAGTACCCACTTCTCATTTTCAGTGTGAAACAAAGAAAAAAAATCATCATGATAAAAGTTGTAGTTATAAAGCCAAATTATTAGATATCGAGACCTTGCTAACTTTAAACGTCGTCTGATGCAAACTAAAACTTACTATGTCAATTTACAAGTGCACCTAGGTGCACTTCGGGAACGAATATAAGTTCGTTAAAACTGACAATAGAAATTGTATTTTTAGAGAATGAAAACTCGATTTGATAGTAAATAAAACGTTTAGAATGGTCTACGTAGTTCTCTGTTGTTTCTATGTACCATTTGTATGTAATCTACTCTCCTTTTCTCTCTCTCTCACTCACTCACAGAGACACATATAAATAATATTATTTAGTAGAATGTCAAGTATTTTTCTATAACAACGTTAAGAAATATTTAAAATAATAAATATAGAGATATAATGTACTAATAAAGTGAAAAATAAATGAAAGAATTTCAACACTCTCATCGATCAATTAAAAGGAAAAAAAAACTTGATCGTTTGAAAAAAAAACAATACTAGCTAAGTGGATACAGGACAAAATTTTCATCACTACTCGAGTGATGAACGTATATATCATAAAAAAGTAATAATGAAATTCATACTGTTTCATTTTTGACTATGAAAGTCAAATAAACTTTTTTTTGTTTTTTTACAGTGTTATTAAAGCGCTGTCTTTTTTTTCTTCTTCTACTTTCCCACTGCCGAATTTTCATGCCGCCATCAAAATTACCAAAGGTTATAGAAAAAAAGAAAAAAATTATTTTAATGTCTATAAACACACATATTTGTTGAAGTTTATAATAATCGATTTACATATCTATACATGTGGATAGATAATTCATCATTTGACTGCTGTTGTTGTTGTTAAGGTAAACTTTTATCTGATCTGCAAAGACAACAGTTGTTTATAAATATAAACAGAATATTTCAAGTTTTCTACATATATTAAAAACTTAGAAAATTATTTGAAACAGCAATAGCGTTAAAGAGCAGTGAGTCTCTATAACGTTGTAATAGCCATACCATTCAGTTTTAAATGATCTTTTATACTTATTAAGTCAACTGAGTTCTTGAACTGAATAGTTGTTCTTCTTCGAATGAATCAACTATTCGTTTTCAGTTGTGTTTGATAATACAAATCTGGTAAAAAGATAATTCGAATATTATATTCAAGTGATGTGAATGATATTTTTGCAATTATATTTCTGTTATATATTTCAATTTATCTAGGATTAGCCGCGAAAAATGATTCAAAAGCATTGTCGTTCGGTCGATGAGATAATGAATAGTCGTGTGATACTTAGCAGCATCTATAGTAGAAGAGTATATTCTATTAGGACATGGTTAATCACACAGTGTAGTTAGTATATAAAAGGAGAATAAGATAGATCACAATCTTCAACACTAACTATTGCAGTTATTTTCTGTGTTCTGTATAGAGTACGAATACTGTCTGAATATCCCTCAAAGTTTCAGGAGTATTCGAACTTTCTCAGATTACAGTTCCATTCAATCGACACTCTAATCTCGACATTTAGTTAATCTCTAGTTCTTTGAACTTTTTAGAGTAACCAGTCAATGACAACCTATTCAACCTTACCACCGAATAGCTATTTAAAGCTTGGCTCACAGGGAAATTTACACCAGTCCACAAACTATGGTAAAAAGAAAATATTTTTATTTTTATTTGCAATACTTTCTAAAAAAAATAATTTGTTTTAGGAACTTATAATGGTGAGATTTCATCTCGCTCTTATAAACAGCCACCATCGGTTGGAGATTATTCCAGTCAACAGCAACCACTTCGTACAATACACTTGAATGAACAACAACACTCTTCCAATTACTCACAACTTCCGCAAACTACGAATTATGGACCTACGAGTAAATATTCGTCAACGTATTCATCAATACAGCAACAAAATCCTCCTTACGCCAATACTAATATAGGATCAAAATACAATAACAACCATGTTCAAAATGACGGATTTACGACAGTCACACGAAAACTCCCATTGGACAATCAGCATGATAAACGAGATGATACGTTTAATGAACCACAAGTAACTCGTAGTCAACAAATAAATGTCGCTCATTCAGAACAACAAATTTCGAATCGTGATCGCTCGAAATCACGTTCGAAATCGCGTTCAAAATCACAACCTCGCCGTTCACCGATCAATGATGCTGGTAATGAGAATAGTCAGAATAATTTTGAATTGAAACCGACTAAGTCAAGCATGATGAGAGCGGCAGCTATTAATAAAAAATTGGCTATAAAACAAAAAAAAGAAAAACTTATGTCAAAGAAAATGGAAGTAAAAGTACCTCAAAGGTCAGACCGAATTCGGAATAATGCAGAAAATGGCATGAAAGACAGTGAAAAAGTCTTAACTTCTAAGAATAATCCAGACAGAGCGAAAAAGGACACTATAAAACCAAGTGTTACTCAATCAAGAAAGAGTCGAAAAGACGACTATTATCCAACAGATCATGTGGAAAGCTCCATGGACGAAGGTGAATATTTAACACATCAGAAACAAAAAAATGGCACAAATAGCAAGGAGAGGCGGACGCCGTTCAATCATGAACCACATCACCCTGCTGCCCCAATGAAAAACGGTTCCTTACCACCTCTACGCCGTAGATATCCACACGATTACAATTATCACGATCATCCCTTCCATCGTCATCCTTTTGATGATTACGATTACCACAGACGTCCGTACGATCGAGTATTTCCGCATCCGCATCCGCATCCTTATCCATCACCATACGGTTATCGAGGACATCATCCATATTATCATGATATTCCGCCTTATTTACCCTATGAACGCGATCCGTACGATTCCTTCTTTGATTTTGAAAAACGATCGAAATCGAAACGTTCAAAATCCAAACATCGATATGACGAGGATCAACTACACCATCCTCATGCTCCTTTAAACAATGACAGAAAACACGACTCAGAGACTTTGGACGGTGCAACGTCAAAAAGTCGTAATAAAAGTCGAAAAAGTGACAAAGATGGTACAATAAGTCGAAAAAGCAATAAAACAACTACGCGTCAAGAAGATGAATATCGTCGAAGGGAATGGGAAGGACATTATATGCCATATTATGGCGAGAATGATATGCTTGAAGTGTGGAGAAAAGAGCGAAATGATTATTTAAAGAGAAAATTCAAACCTACTATACACGATGTTTTATATTCTCAGCAATGGATGAAATCAGGTAAATAAATATCTTCATGTTCTGATTGAGAAAATTTGAAGAAAACTATCCATATATTATGTGATTCTAAGCGGAACCAGTTTCTGCTCACCAGACAGCGCATTATAGGTATTATTATATATCAGAATCAACTTTTGTTTCGGAGGTTCGATCGAAAAATCCATTTTAGTTTTTTTAAGATTCGGTTAAATCTTGTGGTAAAAAATGTTACAAACTTTCTACAGAATTCCAGAAAATCAAAATTGATTCTTTTATGTCCCAAATAGCTTTACTCTAAACGTATTTTAGAGTTATATGAACTGAACCTTCAGAACAGTTTTTATCACTGTGAAAAAGAAATCGCAGTTCCACACTTACATTCTTGAACTCTTAATAACTGTTTCGTTCAAGAAGTGAGATAAAAATACCTCGAATCTCACTGCGAAAAAGGAGGTGCAGTTTTTAAAAAAATATGTTCCTGAAGTGCTTTAAAGGCAACCTCATTTTCATCAGTAAGAAAATATTTAATGACAAAATGAAGAATTATCAACACTATTTTGCTTTTTAAACATAATTTGACGTTTCGTTAACTTTAACGTCAAATTATGTTTAAAAACAAAACGATGTTGATAATTCTTCATTTTATCATTCGATGCTTTCACCGTTCAAAATCAAATATATCGAAAGAAAATATTTGCATGTAAAAGACATGTCATGATGCCTTCCGAAGGCGCCTGGATCCCAGTTTTATGCATTCATAGTGTCTATGTGAGACATCGTGGATACTTAGTCCGATCACCTAAGATGCGTTCTCCGATGTAAATCAGATGTATTTTTGATGCATAAAGTAAGGCATCCAGAATGCATCGAATACGCCTGGATGTCTTATTAAAGCGGGCAACTGAAACATGCAAAAAAAGAGATGAATAATTCTAAGATGAACAAATAGAGTAGAAAGAATGTTAGCTTTTCTTCTTGCTATAGGCAGGTTAAGGGGAAAAGGACTCAACTGTTGGTTAGTTATAGGATGTTTAACTTCCAAATAGATCTAAGTATATGTATGAGGACAGCAAATGAACAAACTACCGTTTTTAGCAAAATGAGTTCTTTCAAGATGATATTTTAGTCATAGAATGTTTCTATTCCATGGAAATTCCAAATTTACAAGTGCGAAGGGGAGTTTCTGGAATTTACCTTTGAATAGGGTAGTAATATACATGTATGCGATGCTTCACCCGACACTCTTAGGGTAGGTAAGGCTATGTAAGGTCGGGAAATTCAAATGACTTTCGTCGCATTATCTGACCTTGCCTAATCTAAGATGGGTCTACTACACATATGAGAGAAAACTCCAACTAACATAAGAGGAGGGAGAGCGGCAGCGTAAAAGTGGACCGCTACCATCTTAAGGAATAGTATATGTATGACTGATATATCCTAGCCCTACTTACCCAATCTAAGCGTATTAGGCAATGTTAGGAAATTTATTTGACTTTTTGACCTTACCTCACCTTACCAAACCTAATATAGTCTCCTATATATATGGCTAGATATTCTTACCGTACTCTGCCATACGATTAAGTTTACCTTATCTACCCCATGAGTATGAAAAGAAAATTTTCTTTTGAAAAAAACTTATATACAAGATGAAATTTTTTGAATTTGCTCAAAACAGGAACGTGCCATTTACTCGTTTTAGTTCATCATAGGATGAAAATGCGAGGTTAGAGTTCTGACTATTTCTGCACGATATACAGAGCCAAAAGCTCTTCATTCTGATTCAACTCAGTTGAATCAACTGAGACAGACTCTGAATTTTATAAAGTACAACACAATAAACAGAAGCAATTACGTATAGAAGAATCGCTGTTATCAGTTTTTCGAGAATATGATAGTGACGATAATGGCCGAAGAAACATTCTAAATAGTTTTTCTTTCTCCAAGAGTCTCGATGTATCCTGGTGCCTTAAATGTGACTACATGATTTATCCGTGGCTTATGGACGCCAAGAGTCTTGGCTATGGCTAGTGCCCTGCGCTTTTTTGGTGTGTTAATGGTGTGTATCAAAAACACCTAAGCTGTTTTTCTTGAAAAAAGCAACAGCTTAGAGGTGTTTTGTTAAGCCACGAAGGCTAACGGTAAAAAAGATGAGAAAATGCACCTAACGTGCCTTCATTATACACTGTGGACGCATTTGGAACCTATCAGAGTAGTGTATCGAGGCACTTTTTTTCGACAGTGTAGATGTACAACTGATCCCAAAGGATAACGGAAAAATTTGAATCGTTACTCTTCTTCTTTGGTAATTTGGAGAAATTCTTTCAAACTGTCAAATTGTTTGGAAAGTTCATCTTATTGGGAAGTATCAATTACATTAAAGTAAATGTTGTCCTTCAATCCGTATCTGAAGAAACCTCTTGTTTTCCGTGTATATATATGTCAATATTCAAATTCTGAAGGACTTAAAGATAATGTAAGCGTCAGCTAATGAGACCCAGTTATCTAAACAATTTAGTTTTATATCCATTTATCGAATTTAGATTCGAGTTTATTGATAATGAGTAAATTTGAGTCTGCTAAAAAAAATGAACACTTTCTCGGCGGCTAAACTGTATTCCAGAATGACCATTTTGTGTACCCATATAAAGTGCTTTCTAATATTTTAACACACTCTTCATTTTTGAGGATTAAACAAAGTAAAAACGAGATAATTTGTTTACAATAGAATTAAAATGGAAAATAAAAACTGTATTTTATAAAGCTGTTAGATGGAAAAAGAAAATTCATAAAATAGTTTTTTCTGATTTTCCAAAAATGTTTATAAAACTTATAACAACTATTGAATTTTATTAGTTAGACAAAATCGAGTGTCAAGTTTTTTCACATTAAAAACCAAACACTCAGAGATTTTGAAGTAGATAAAAATGATTTATAAAAATACTTTAAACTATTTTTTCTATAGAGTGAGTAGTAATTTTGAAGAACACTAGAGTTGATAAAATTCTTTATAGGATACTTTCGTTATTAGTCTTGTGCTTGTCTTTAGACAACGATCTACCTTTATTAAATAAATTTATTGTTTTTATGTGTTTAGATAGCTATTTGGAAAATCAGCGGCGACGAGCAGTAAGAGATGCACAAGGATACTATTTTCCCTATCGAAAATATACATTGAAAGATTACAAGGATTTACAAAAAGCTGATCATCAAAATCCATTTTCGTCGGTAAATGAAACAGTAATTGATCGTGTACGTATGTCGGAAACAAATGATATTTCATTGTATATCAATGCTTTATATCTTATCTAGAAACAACGTGCAAAGAAGAGAATAGAGTATGGAACACAAATAGAAAAATCAATGGTTGAAAATCCATCAAGACATCGATTTTATAATAAGGAAGACGAAACACCAAGAAAACCATGGCATTTGACGAGTGGAGATGCTAATGAAGCGGAGAAATCAAAACGAGAACGAGTAATGCAATTAAATTCTCTCCATACAGGTCTGCTTATGGTCGCAAATTTTTCTCTCACGTGCTCTCATAATCGATCGTTCCTTTTTCACCGCTTTGCTTTCCCAAAAAAATTTTCTCATGTTATTTCACCGACAGTCATCGTTTTACGACAACTTGGACTTATGCGATAGGTTGTTGTATCCCACATTTATATACACTTAGAATTTTAAAAATTATTCCTCTTCACACTAGGAAGATCCAAAAAACATACCTTTAGACTTAAATAAAATATTTAAATAAGTTTTTCTATTTGAAAGAACAACAAATTTAAACAGGTCGACGTTTGATGTTATCCACTGAATATTTTACACACAAAAGTCGAGACCATTTAGTGCTTGAATGATTCAGTAATTTTAAGAGATAAATGATCAAGGATTTTGAAGCGCCAGTTTTTTTTCCTCTACAGTTCGGGCACACCATCCATAACAAGTTCCCGTTCATCACTACGAATTTCTAAATATTTGTCAATTTTATAGGCTCTTGAGTACTCCAAAAACCGAGTAATCAAACCAAAAACAACTCCAAAATCCGAAAATGATAATGCATTTTTTGTTGATGGGGACGATGATGTTTCACGTAAGTATAATTAATAAAAATCAAAAGTTATCGATATATACTTGAGTATTAAATCAAACTTTGCTTATATTATTTTTAGTAAATGAAAATACCGGTAAATTAAATCAAACAGAATACGACGAACAACAATGAACTAACAATATTAGAATTTTGATGTTCGCAAAAATTATTTATGACATAGTCAATGATTCGAAGAAGACAATAAAGAGAAGAGATCTGTTTTTTACTACACTCGTATTTTTATCTGTATTCTTATTTTTTTATGATTGTTAATTTTATATTGTTTACGCAAAAATCTATTCTTTGTTAAAAAAACTGTAAAAATTATGACGATTAAAAACTCAAAAAATAATAGTTTAACGATTTATTCAACGATAGTAGTTTAACGGAGTTTTTTTTCTCAAAAAATCCATAGAGTCCTACGGGACTCCACATAAAGTCCCGCGAGAGTCCCATACAAAAAAATTTTATTTTTTGAAAAAATCAGTATGAATAAAGAGGCAGGTAGTAAATTCAGGTGTATACAGCAAATTCAGCTCTCTGTTCCCTTATCTAAGTAGGTCTCATTTTCGCTAGTCACAATGTTACACTATCGGATTTTTGGACAAGTTTTCTTTTG